AATCGTGTCAATTTCGTGTCAAATTTTGGACACGACACGACATCGTATTTTTTACACATGACACGAACACGAATTCGAATTTCAATTTCATCTCAATTTCGTTTCGTATCGTGAATTTTTGTCGGGTCGTATCGTCAATTACCACCCCTGCAAACTCACAACACAAATAATCACAACACAAATAAATCTTTAGCAATCAATTACTATGGAAAATCCAAACTGTTTTCTTCATATTCCATAGCATAATCAACGATTAGTTAGACTTCTCATATTTCTTTTTGGAATCGATTTCTTCTCCGGTTCTCATCTCTTTTGATTTTTAAATAGTCTCCATGGTCCTAGGTTCATACACAATCACAAATCTATGGTTCTCTGCGCAACCTTTCCCAACAAACCCAAAATTTCCAATTCCTTCTCAATCGATTGCACTTATACTTAACAATTCCTTGATCGACATTGCTGAACCTCCAATCCTCCATTTTTAATCGGCACAAGTAAAGTCGTGAAGTCGTGAAGACTTGAAGCTTCGGTGTATCACCATTGACGAACCCCCAATACCATCTTCCAGGTTTTTTCGTATGCTTTTATATCTGTTAGCTTCTTAAATCGATTCTCATTTTTGCTCTTAAATCTTTAATTGCTTTTTAAACCATCTGTTTTCTAATACCACTGATTGAGCCATGTATCTCACCACTTATGTAGCAGTGGTTGATTCTAGTTTAATCTTAGAGTATAGTTATTCTAGTTTATACTTCTATTTTTTATGCTTTAATCGTTCTTTGCTTTTGATTTTTTTATTATCTATTATTAGCTTCTGATTTGTATTATTTTTTCCACATGCAGTCCACTTTTTTGTTAATATGAAAAGGGAAAAGGCTCATAAAGCACACATACCGTTTGCAGTTGTGTAGCACATCATTATACACATCAGGTATTTCAATAATCATATTAAATTTTCTGCTTCTAGTTTCTCTTATTTTTGGCTTTATATTGTTTTAAAGATACTGAACTTGAAGAAGAATTTGTTGACATTGATTTTGTGCATGTAGATGTTAAAGTGGAGGGTGAAGGAGTTAATGTAAAACTGGAAAGAGAACGGTGGTCTGTGGTTTGGTAATATTTTTACACACTTTTAATTGGTAGTGATGGGAGGGAAAGGGCAAAATGTAAGAGATGCTCAAAACAATACATATGTGAAACCAAAAATGGGACATATAGTTTGAGAAATCACTTTAGAAAGTGTCATAGATTGTTTGTTTGTGATTAAAGTAATTGTGTTTTCTTGTTAGATTTTTTTGGTAATTGTGTTTTCTTGTTGATTTTTTAATTAATGATTAACAAATTTTAATATGTTTATTGTTTTGAAGGCAATGAAGAGTTGTGTTTACAAAGAATTTACAGATGATATTATGGAATTGGATAGCATGGTTAAACATCAAACGATGGAGTCATACGTTTGAAGATCTTTACACTGTTCAATGTTGTTTTATGTAAAAAAAAATTGTTTTATTCGCGTTTTTCAAGTTTGAATTAACTTTTTTAGAACTTATGGAATGTAAGTCCCAAATCTGCTTATGTATCAATCAGATCCGTTTGATAGTGTGGAATCCCAATCAAATAGATGATGCCAGATCAAAATAGAAGAGAAGAAGAATAAGAATAAGTTGAATCTATTATGTATTCAAGATTGGAATGATGAACAATACACAAGATTCACACACACTTGCACCTTCTCTCATTTTTCTCTTTAGAACATCTTAGAATATACACACTTAAGCTCCTCTAGCTGCACACTCATTAACCACTCCTCACCCCGAACACCTATATATATATATATATATATATATATATATATATATATATATATATATATATATATATATATATATATATACATAGGGAACATGGGCCGTAAATGGATTCACGGCCGTGAACCAGTTCACGGTCGTAAACACCCAATGGGCCATAAACACTTTTCGATCTTAGAAGAAAAATTACAGTTGGCTAAAAAAGCAAAGTATAAACCATAATTTAGACCCAACATGGATAGCTCTATGTAATTGACTGTTTTTGTTAATTTTGTCATGTTTTCATGTTTTTTTTTCGTGTTTTTATTTTGTTGTGTTTGTGTTAATGAAAAAAACACACGATATCATGTCGTGTCGTGTTCGGGTTGAGAAAAAACATTTCATGTCGTGTCGTGTTAAGCAAGAGCACGAAATGATTCCCGATTTGCCACCCTTATTCATGACCTTTTTATTTTGTTGTTCTGTATTATTAGTTGTTAGGTTGTTTGGTTTTCTGGACTTGTCCTGAAACCTTTTTTTCATAGGTGGAGAGTCCTAGCATTCAATATTTTTTTAGTTAAT